CACCCGTCAAGAAAAACAAGGGATATCACCTTTTAAGCTCTTTTGTCTCACTATTCTCTATTCAATCAAGAACAATGTAATAAAAAAGTGTTACTATTAAATTCACAATTAAGAGAGAACACATTACTATACTAGATTCTGTTATGATTACATTGAGTTATTCTACGAGTATAACAACAACAAAAAACTCTATTGTTTAACAAATTCAATTCACGTTTCAGATATATTATTAGTTTCTAATTTTCCATAGGTCGTTTAAGAGGTATTAAATGCTGGCATAGCCTCTATTTTGTATAAATAACGGAATTACATTAGAAGTGTTTTACAAGAACAAACATTTTCCTAAACTTTAACGAACTTATATGCTTTATTACGAACGAAAGTTATATGCGTTTTTAATAACAACGTTACTTATATTTTTTCGAAGTTTTCTCATGAATATTTATTTTATAAGGTGGGGTAAGAGTTCTAACCTCCAACCACGGAAGGAACTTACGGGACCACGGCCTCTTCGAGCTCTAGCAGTTTTAGTCCCGTTTGTCCATCCAAGACCCCCGGTAGCTATTACCCTGACCACCTTACCCTATTATTATTATTATATTTCTATGTTAATAGAAAGCAGTATTTTCTTTTCTGAATACTTCCAATTTTCCCATTTTTATTCCAAAGTACACAGTTGACGACAAACGTCTGGCCTCTTGTTATAAAAGTCGTTAGAATAAGTGTTTAATAAGTATCTGCCTGACTCCCTTGGAGCTAAAGGCGTGACTATATGTATATTTCTAAATAAATGATGAGACCAACTTGTTATTGCTATTGCTAAAACAAGAACCTATCACTTTTCGATAGAATTTTATTCGATAGATTAACTGCTGCGGTAGAAATGGCGGCCTGGTTGCAAAAATGCGATCATATTACAAGGATTGGCGGATAGGCGGGGGAAGCCTTCTTACCCCGGGATAGGGCCTGGCTAAGAGCGTCGTCGATCCGGGGGGACCTGAATTATCATGGTCCGGGTCCTCCTCGGAGTAGGGCGCCTGAGTCCGGCCGTCGGAATGGTTTTTGGTGTAAACACCACATACTCCTGGCTCCTACATCCCCAAGGAGATCCAAAGGAATTTTCCACCCCGTCACAAAAAAAAAACTGGTCATAGTTGATTTTTGTAGTATTTCGTTTGCAATATGCACAGGCGATTAATCAACGGAGTCACATTACATTATTTGCATACGTTAACAGTGAGACAGAACTGGATCAATGTTATATTTGTCAAGGTGTTTCTTTAAAACGACGATACACCAAAGAGTCAGTGAACTTGTATTCTTAGACAAGTCTTCCCCTTTAAAAATAGATAAAAAACGAATCTGAGGCCTACACCATTAAGTATTAGTTGGTTCAGAATAAAAATATCAATACAATCCCAATATATTGACCATAGTAAGCTCTCGTAAGATGTTATGTATGTCTAGTCGAAGATTTTTCTTTTTGGCTATATATTGTATATTATTAAAATATAAAGGATGTAATTGAAAATATTGATTTGATTGTGATAATGAAACATTATAAGCATTCAAATCTGAAATTAATCTGTGGTCCTAGACCTTGCTCCGTCAGAGGTTACAATAAAAAATAAGTTTAGAATGTGCTTGTAGTTCTACGTAACATTAAAGCGTGTGTGTGTGTCTTTCGAGAACCTTTTTTGCCCCCTCATAATTAATCTGTAGAACAAATTGTCACGTGTTTTCGTCCCGACCGATGCGACCGGTTAAATTTACACATGCAAACAATCAAATAAAGGTGGTGGTGGTAGTCACCAGTCTCGTTTGCCCTCTATAGCAAAATTTTTACGAATATGTCAAAGTCATCAGGTATATTCAAAGCAAAAAACTAATAATATCTCAATCAGTAGTCATGACATTAAACATTCAACAGGGCAGTAGATCATAGAATATTCAATAGGTTTAGTAAACAACGTTTATTGGCAGTAAAAGCTTTACAACTTTAGACGTTTAACATTTAATTAATGTCGCCGTGTAATGGTTTATATAAGTTTATTTTCGATGGCTATTCCCTGATATTAAGAAATAATAGTGTCCTCTTTTCTTCCTTTTTCTTATAATACAATATATTTATGACTACTAAAATAATTTTAACTTATCGATCAAATAATTAAAATAATAACTGAATTGAATAAACAACGGACAACATTTTATTTCTTTTATACACTTTAAATCAATATTAAAATTATGAACAAATATAATATATAAATAAAGATTATAATTAATAATACATGACATGTATAGTTACCATGATTGTATCCTATTATATTAATTACAAACAAAACATTCTACTGTATATATGGTTGTGTTATCTTCAGACAGGGTCCATAATTGTTGCCGCTTGAATTGTTATCACCCATGTATTAAATTATATAAGCAATAACGTATTGAGTATCCCAAGTGAGGATTGAATTCACAAAACTCAGCGCAGTAGGAAGCGGCGACATAACCGCTTAAATCACTACGCTATCCGTGAAGTCAAAGTCAAATTCTGTAGCCTCTACAGATTAAGCAACTCGTTCATACGACAATGTCGTATACATTGTCGTATGGACGAGTTTTTTTTGACTTTGACAATAAACTCCCTGTTGATATTAAGAATTTGTCCTTTAGCAAATTTAAGAATACTATTGAATATAACAAACGTGGTGTAGGACGCCCACAGCCAGTTGGAGTGATGATTTGCTCAAGATGGCTGGCAGGAGTTGGATGCTTGAAGCCGAAAATCAATCGAAGTGGCGTGTAATGGGAGAGGCCTAAGTCCAGCAGTGGACTACGATAGGCTGATAATAATGATGATTAAATGTAAGTTATCTACAACAAGATAGTATGCCATCGCAGAATTTCTCGATGATAAAACCGCCTGGGAATAAACTGATCATTCTGTACTTGCTATGTTTTATTACAACGTTTACTTTTGTTTCCTACAGGACAATAATTTATTATTTGTAACAAATTTATCTTCAATTCTATTTATTGACATTCATTTTTACTTATTATACATAATAATTGTGAACCAAAATTATATAAATTATTATTTTGTTTTTTATTGAGAGCTAAGTGATTTTGCATTGCCTGTGCTTTAAAAGAGACGATAATCTCTAAGTTTATTTCGTCCCTTATTCTAAGGGCTAGTCCAGTTAGGAAAGGACGAACGCATCTGGTCTAAAAAAGTTAGACATGTAAAAGTCTTCGATCAAAAATAAACGATTTCATTTCATTTCTAATTGGCGGTGGTTATTAATCTGTGAGCAAAGCTGTCTCATTAAAAAAAAAATACATCAGAATGCCATGCATCTATCAAATAAGAAGAGTGTTAAGTAAAGTGCAGCAAACAGATGATACACAGCCTCTGTCAGTGCAACCTGCCATACCTAAAGAAAATCACAAAGTTTAAAGTTTAAAGAAAATACTATACCTAAGTCTTTGATACAAAAAATAGATATGTTACGTAGTAATGAGGTTGAAGAGAGAAACCAGAAATTCAAATATAGTATTTATTGCTTTAAAATATAAAAAATTGTATAAACAGTATACTTTCAAATGTCTCAAGTTTTATGTGAAACCATTAATAGTGAGCCCATTACGTCATCTAGTCGAAATAATCGTTTCAAGTTTAAAACATCAAATACGGACAATATATCTCTGTACTATTTATAGAAATAAGGGCAAAATATGAAGAAACGATTTTAATTATTTCTATTCAAAAATACATACAATTCAGATTAACCGTAATACTACCATAAATAACAATTCTGTAAAAGAACTGATACCACAGGCTGCTGGGTTCACGGCAATTGCGTTGTGACTAAATTACAATACGATAAATTTAATTCATTTTAAGTCTTGTACCTCGTTGCATCATTTCATACATTGTTATAGAATATTTAAGTATATTATTAATATCAATAGGTCTTTCTAACTTATATGAAAATTAACAAGTAGAGTTGCGACTATAAGTAGTGTTTACTAGCCACAGTACCGTATACACTGTGGTGACGGATTAAGAATACGGAGTGTAACCACCCCTATTCATCCCGTGAGTGTCGTAAGAGCCGACTCAGGCACCAAACTACGTAGGTCAACAGTTTTGCAAAGAGAAGGAAAACTTGAAACAAACGCTATACCAACCCGTCTGGTCAGCGTGGAATAGTAGGCCAAAACCTCCTTGCTAAGGAGAGGCCTATGTCCAGCAGTGGACTGTTATAGGCTGTTGATGATGATGTACCGTATATATAATTCTTTAAAGTGAAAATAATGATAAAACCGTTACGCACTGTGCAGCTATGTTGCAATCACAGTTAATTTTGTAATATAAAATTCTAAGTTCTGAACGAAACGGTCCCATTGAAACGTGTGATAGTCTACTTTTTTCAGATAATGATGGGTTCATGGCCAGCATTGTCGCCTCAATCAAGCGCATTTTTCTACTAAATCTGGGTTTTCTTAAAACTTTAATAAACAGTGGTGAGTTGTTCCCTTCATCAGTTCAGTTGTTCCTTCGACAGGTCTTTGTTATGCTTTCCATGGTGGCCATAGTTTGTACGACTTTCTTCATCGGGTAAGTCATAGGAGATCTATATCAGATATCCAACCGAATAACTTAACAAAATAAACCAAAAGTAGCGAATAATACAGAGAGTTGAAAAGTTAAAAGTAAGTAAACAAAGTGAATTAATTACACAGCCAAAATTTTAAATAAATTTATTGATCTAAGTTCCTATATGTAGATATCGTGAAGGTAGATATCGTGTTTAAGACTTTTAAGTCCCTGAAAAATACCCATACTCTAGTGTGACTCTAATCTCTGTTTTCGTATATTAAATTTATTACATTTTATCATATTTACAACATTGCTTCTTAAAAAAAACACTATTTCTCCAATACTTTTCTAAATTTTGTCTCAAATACTACCTAAATCTAACGCGCCTATAAAAAAAATATCACTCTTTTATAACATAACCTAATTGCTTCATATCCTTATCAAACTGTTCAGTTCTATACTTCCGAATTTTCTTCAACCATTGTTGGAAATCCGCTCCACTTCTACAAGTGCCTCCGAACCTAGGAGGTAGGCACTCCAAGTCAATATGGCGTTGCAGAGACTTCAAATCGCTACCATGGAAGTGAATGGCGTCCCAGGCTTGTTGAGGTATAAAGCGCTTGAAGAGAAAGAAGATAGGGCTTAGCATCCAAGAGTAGTTTATCAGATGGATGGACCTGAGGCGCATCGGTATCGCCAACTGCAAGAAAAGAGTTTGGAAATTAGAAGATATTTAATATTTACTATAAGTTGAAACTTTTCATCCCTTGGGTGTCGAAAGAGCTGCAAACAAACAAACTACGCAGGACAAGAGCACTGACCAAACCCGCCTTGCCATCGTGGTATAATAGGCCAAAACCTCCTTTCATAGGAGAGGCCTATGTCTAGCAGTAAACTATTAAAGGCTATTGATGTGATCTGATGTGATAAAACTCCGAATGGGCAGCTGAGAGCTCTGCCTCAGTTGTTTCTTTTTCTGGCATAGAGGGCAATGGAAAATACGTCTCACCCGATTATAAGTAATTACCGCGCTCTATGGACTGCTGCAACTTAGGAACCACAAGTGCATTGGCGCCCTTTAGGTTCCAGCCCAGCCAGTGGGTCACAGGGCCGATTAAATTACCAAGGAGGCAACCCTCCTTGTATTAAAGCATAAAAAAATGTAAAAAAACTATAATGAATAATTAAGAAATTAGAAAAAGGGTAGCGTAATGATCATAAATTTGAAACTCTGGCTACTTGTTAAACTAAAATGATGACAAAACCATAACATTGTCAAAGTAAATAAGATTTATTTTTATAATAATAACTCAACACATCTTACACGACCTTCTGATTTTAAATTACTAGATTGCTCATAAAAATACTTATACATTTCTAAATACATAGATATTAGGAATAAATTACATCCAGACAGAACAAATGAGAGTGCACATCACATAGTATTTATTGATCCTGGGTGGGGACCGAATCCGCCTGAGGCTTAGGAGTCAGGATCGATTGCCACTAACAACAGGCCCGCAGATTGCTTTTAGTGTACAATTTAATATTAAACAACTCACCCCCATCAAACAGACAATTTGGTAAGCCACTGTGGGTGTCACTGCAGCCATGTGTTTAATCGTGATGCCCTCGAGGTCTACGATTAAAGTAGTGCCAATTACTTGTATCTTTGGCTGTCGCAAACTTATCTCTGCAATCGCCGTCGCAGCACGTAGTAGGTCTTCAATAGGCATCTCGTTGGTATCCCATACACCTAAAAATATCATAACACCAATTTTGATTAAGGTTTGTCAAAAGTTTTTTATGGTATAGACGGGCAAAAAAAACACAGATCACTTGATTTTGAGTGATTAATAATATTTCTTTTCAGATATTTTTACAAGTCGCACTTTACAACTAGAAGGTGCTGGCATTTCCTAAGAGTCAGTTTGGGAAGAAACGTCGAAACAAACCACATAGGTGTATTTTTTTTAAGTCCGTGTACAATGTTAAAGTGTGAAAGTATGTGAGTGCAGTACAGGGTAAGTGAGTATCACTGACCACTGCCTATGGTCACTGCTTAAGAGTCATAAGTCGGAATTAGGGGGAAGGTGAGTTTGGGCTTGCTTAACACTTACACACACAACCAGGTCCCACCTGCCCGTTTGTGTACGGTAGTAGCTACAGACTTACCATGTTGGAACTTGATCCCCAATTTAGCCCGACGAATTTAAAAGACATGAAAAGTACTTACCAAATCTCAGAATACCGATGCGTCCCACGTCTGGGCGGTCAGACATATTGCCTTCATATGCATTTTTCACTTTTCCTAAGCCCCAGAGATCTACTCCATCATACAAATGTTTATGCTCCTCTCTGAAGTTGCAGTAGCGGACCATCTGTGGAAGATCTACGTTATTTTAATTTTTTGAAAAACTAACTAGTACAAAGGAATTGTCTGCATCATTAAAAATTTACAAATACCCACACAAGAAAAGGGGCACAAAGTACTAGTATACCTACTCCCCTGTTTTTTTTGCCCTTAAAAAGACAACTCCCGCAATAGGAATATATCCTGTGTCGCGGGGGAACACCAAGACTCGGAACAACAATTTGTGGATTACACAAAGTGTTGTCCCATGTGTTGATCGGACCCACAACACTCAGCGTAGTAGTGAGCGGCGTGACGACCGCTTAAACCACTACGCCACCCGTGCAGTCTAATAAGGACAAGTCGACGAATTAACCACTATTTCTAAATTTCAAGGTTATTGGTTTCAAACTATGAATAATAAAACAATGTATGTGTCAGTAAAAATGCAGTAGTTATCATTTCACAAGAACTATTTTAAAAGTAGTGCTGCTTAATCTTAATTCGTAAGATTGTGTAATCTATACGGAGACTATTGTTATATTATCATTTATTCTATTTATCCTTTAGGAAAACGCTTTAGATGTACGTAAGACAAGATCAAAGATTTGTATGTTACGAGGAGAACCCATCTCTCAACCTTACAAGATAGAAATAGACGAAACCGTGCATGTCATCTGATCCATGCCGATTTAATAGTTAAGTTTAATTGTGTCGTTCAAGCGTTACTTTACGGGCAATTTGATATTGGACCAGTAGTTTTTCTGCTTTAGAGTTCAGATATTTTGCTGCGCTATATTTACAAATACTTAACCTTTGAGCTTGATTTGTAACTCACTTTTAGACTTTTTGCATAAAACCTAAAAACCGAGGCATAGCGTAAATGAGTATCCAATTAAAGTGCAATCACTGTGTGAATCTTCCCGCGACTACCCACTACCTAAACAACTTGTAGCTTCATACATAAAGTATGGAGTGATCGTGGTATTTATCGTCTATTTTAAAAAATGTATCTACTTGCTAAAAGTCAAAGTAAAAAAAATAATTAGACGCAGTTGTTACTTATTTCAAACAGTCAATATTAAACTACATTTTTTCTTTGCATAATTTGTAGAAATTCAAGATGCTTTCCTCCCAGTAGGAAATTTCGTGTTAATCAGTTCTGATACTTATCGCAAATGCAACTACGGTCATTTTCCCAAACTAGATTGAGGTCGTCTTTTTTGTCTACAACGATACTAAACTCAACTAAGGTATTAATAAATGTAGTACTGAATTTCTTTTGTTTTGCTTTCGCTGATATGAAGTGTCTCTCTATGATCTCCTTGGCAATTCAAAGGACGTTTATATGCTTACCAGTTTATGCGCTCTGGGTACGATGAAGTCCTTGGCCCTCAAAAACCGCAACATGAATTCATCATCTGTTCTGAACGGAAAGCATTCCTCTCGTTCTGTAATAAAACATAAATGTATTCACGCTGACCCAAATTCATATTAGGTCAAGGATATGTCAGCAAATCGTGCCCCACAACTGAATACAATAGTGACGTCATTACGTCATCACGGATCACTCTTTTTTTACTTAGATGCATTTGCAATATTATTACAGGAAAACTCTCAAGGTAATGTTGCAAGCTTATAACTATTATTTATTTTTATTTTATTTTTTATTTTACATCTTCATGCACTTATGTACAATATGTATGTGTTATAACTTTTACGAACAGACGTGTCTTTTCGATATTTATTCGTATAATTCATTTAGTTGTAACCTAACTTAATAAGTATGTAACGACAGCCACATACGAGGAAAATATTTCAATATCATTTAACGAAGACATTGCACACAGCTACTGATTCTGCATCGCGCTTTGAAAATTATCGCGCCAATTTACATGTACAAATACGAATGCCTGGAAGCATTAAAGATATCATAACAAATACTTTTCAAATTGTTCGTAGCTTCTTGAAAGTAATATTACATTAAACATGTCAACTCTCAAGAAGCCGTCTTATAACAATGGGAACACCCCAATACTCCGAAATATTTTCTTCCGAATTTTGATGTTCGGATTTTCATAAGTCCTAATTTCACAATACCGAAGAATTATACTTAATATCTATTATTAAGATTCACAAAATTTATTTTCCCGAAAGTCGTAAATGTGATTTGTTTATTTGGCGATTTTTATACGTTCGAAGAATTAAATTCTCGACCTCGGGTAGCTGTTGAAGCGGTTACCTCGCCGCTTCCTATGTTGTTGGTTCAATCTCCACACGGAACAACATTTTGTGTCACCCACAAATGATTGTTCTTATTTCTTAGTTATTTATCTATAATATATATGTGTTTAAAAATATATAAGTATGTTTATCAGCAGTCTGGTTACCATAGTACAGGTTCTGCCTAGTTTGGGATCAGACTGCCGTGTGTGAGATGTGTGAAGTTGTTAGTTGAAGTTCTTGTTATGGGGTTATATATGAAACGGACACAAAGTCCGTTTTATCTATGTTTGTGAAGTCGCCCACCATACTATATATATTCTTACAGTAGGATTTGTCTTTTAAGAAAATAATAGAAAAAAACTTAGGGACCAACCATTAGACACTATTTTCTTCGACACTTTTACAGCTTTGACAGTCTATCCGCACATGTCAATTATCTAAGACAATAACTAACAAAACATGCTAATACGAGTAGTTTATAAGTTTTATTGAAAATCATCAATCAACCAATTTGATGGTGTTTGTTTACTTTAACGTTTTTGTAGCAGCGATCAATGAAATATTTATTTTTAACAATCATGAGTGTTCTTTATTTATTTTTAAATAGTATTAAAAATTACAAATTCTGCACTTACCAAATACCATTTTTCTAAGCTCCGTTATAGCTGCCGCCCTGGTATCTTGATTCTCATTGCAAAGCTCCTTCGCTGGTTCTAATAACTCCGGGTCCTCTTCTGTGTTTAGCTCGGCCTCGAAGCCAATTTCCAAAAACAGCTGATACATTATGATCTCCTAGTAAATGTGATCTGGAAAAAAGTATTACTTTAACTTTTGCTTGTAGGTGTTAATTTAAAGATTTCGTTTAGGCTAAGGACTCGTTCCCACTTGTCGGGTGTCGGGCTCGACAGAAAATCGATTGCTCTAATGGTAAGACATTTTATATGGAACTATTCACACTTTTCCGACACCGATTTTGTGTAGGCGCCGACAAGTAATGTCTCGCTCGCCTATGAGTACCGGATGTCGATGATAAATGCAGTCTCTAAATCTTGTATTTTGGTAGTTTATGCTCGCTGATATTCGAAGCAGTAGATCGTTAAATGTAGTTATTGGACATCCAAAAATATTTTTTTTTTTTTTTTTTTGAATTCTGTAACTTGGCAATCTGTGTTAACCAGTTAGTCCAAAAATAATTGAACAACTAAATTTCAATTCTCATATGAAGTTCTGAAACGTTACCAAGCTAAACCTTTCCCTCAGACTTGGGCGCACTCAATAGTTTCTTTCCTTAATGGTATTTATTTGTTTTTTTCTCAAATACATCCCAACAAGGACTTCGTCAACGTCTACCGTGCACAGTCACCTAGCGTAGTGTTCTGTAGTGTTAAATATTGGCACCAACTTCGACCGTGGCCGACAACTAGTGTGAACAGAGGCACCGACACCCGATTAAGATGCCGGGGGAGAACCATGCTTCGGACTTCGGCACAAATGGGTCGGCTCGACTAGTGATAAAACGGCCTTACAGAAAACAAGTGTAAGAAATTTCTTCGTTTCAACTTATTTTGGTGCACAGATTTAAGAACGACATTACATTACACAGAAGCACTGCTAAGTGTTGCCGGGAATAAAAAGAAGGGAAGAGAGAAAAAGAGAGAAACGAGAAAATATGCGCATTATCGCAGTGACATAATAAGACAATAACAAATAACTTTTTTGTCGTTGTATAGTATTAGTATTGTTGTTTTTTAATATATAAAGGTACAGGCACAAACAATGAACACACAGTAAAACACAATATCATCTATAATGTAATATACTACTACCCTCTATGGTGAACTTTTGTTTTGCTAACCATATCACTTACATATTTCGACTTAAATTTATAACGATACCTTAAGTTAATTTACTTAGTTGTTTCAACTAAGGAGCAAAAAAGAGAGGTTATAAACATCTACATAATGCCACATATAATTTGGTCCCGCAGCTAATAGGAGGCAAGGCTAATAATAATACGCAAAACGGAGAACTAAATAAGAATAACGAAACATGGACCAACGAAAGAGAAATAAAGTTTTTTTTTTAATTTGGATCTCCAACAAGAAATACACATTACATGCTAGTTTTGCAGCTGTTAGAAATAACTAGTATTAGGTATAGTAAAACTGTCGTATGTTTAGTAAATCCGTTTATTCTTCTTCTAATAAGCCTGCGCCGTCCGTCCTCGTTTTTGTTTATTAAAAATCCCCGCCAACATTTCCCCACCTTAAATCTACAACTACCCTCTTAAGTACAATTTTATTTGCCTACATATAAAGTTAATTATAACGTATCATTACAGTATAAATATTAAATACATTAACACACCTAATTATCAAGTTTACAACATTTCAGGAAGGCCCCTGGCAACATTGTTTGTTCTCAAACGAACATAGAAAAAAATAAACATGTGACTAAAAAAACAACACATAACTCTTAATGGGTTTACAACATTCGGCCTTCCTGACAACATTGTTTGTCCTCAAACTAACTAAAGAAAAATAAAATAAACGAAAATACACCACAAGACATAATTATTATACTGGAAAAATCATCAGGCTTAAAAATTATGTTTCTGACAATACAGATTATCCGGTTTTGAATTATGTAATCCTGGCAATCTCAACAGGCTTTATTTATTTTTTTATTATTCCTTGAAATCTCACCAGGCTATAAAAATATTTTTTTCTTACAATACAGTTTTGAATTAATTAACCCTGGGGCAGTTGTCAGACATCAAAACATTTTTTGTTACAGATGTAAGTTAGTTAACCCTAAAAAACTCATCAGGCTTAAAAATATGACTATTAATCATCACTACTATACATCCGTACTACCGCTTTTTGAATTCACAGGCTGTATTTAATCAACAACTCATATATTACAATATTTTTTCTTTCCTATATTTACTTTAGGTATATTAGAAACCTCATATCTATCGTTATCTAAAATTTTTGTTATTCTTCCAAAGGAAACAGGGTGTAGTTTTTTACTTTGACCGTCGTTTGGGTTTATTTGCTTTAACCAAATCATCTAGTAAATATACGTCATATCTGCCACCAAACTCCCTTTGGAAAAACCCACACACTTTAGATCGTCGTCCCCTACTTTACGAAATAATTTATTGTCCTTCAGTACAAAATTTTGCTGAATATCAGTAACATATCATCTTGTAATCTTGTAATAGGTACTTGACGTCCAATCCAGTCCTCACTATTTATAGCAAAAACGTGTCATTTGGCTCAAAGTATTTTATATGAACCGACTTTTCAATTGGCTGAACAGGGTTACGATTAAGGCCATGAACATGCAAAATTTGATGGCTTTCAAGGGGCTGGTATCCTTTTCTTTATGAAGCAAAATGCCGGCCAGTCCTAGTCCTATTTTCATTGCATCTGTGTGAAGCTCAGACTTACATTTAGAGTCATGCGAGTATAGTGCTAGAATAGGTCTTTCAATTAATCTTGTTTATTTAAGTTCTAAATGCGCCTTCCTCCTCATCATTCCACCTCCGTGAATATCCTTTCTTTGTTAGATCGACTAATAACAGCATAACCTTTAATTAATTTTCGAAAATACTGTTTAATCATGGACATTCCTAGGACATGGGAGATTCCTTACCGCTTCAATTTTTGCTTGTAATTTCATGGCCAAGATACTCGATACTGTTTTGAAATAAGTGACATTTTATTAATTTCAAGGTCAAATTAGCACTGTTCAATAAATCGAAGCTTTAGTTATCGTTCTTTGAAATACCGAAGGGGTATTGACTAATCCGAAAAAAATACGTTTAAATTGATACAACCCGTTAGGTGTAGTAAAAGCCGTTAGATGCTTACAATTTGGTAGGAATCCCTAGTTGGATCTAGAAAAGTAGAAGATTGACTGCCACTTAATTGATCGATTAGGTCCTCGTTAAGAAAGAGTGGAAAATGATCCTTTATTGTACGTCTGTTTAAAGCACGATGGTTAACGCATAAACGTTGACCTCCAGGTTTCTTTGATACCAGGGAAATTGGACTAGCAGATGGGGATATTGATTCTTCTATGGTATCATTTTGTAGTAGGCAAGGTAAAGCAAATGATTGTCTGTCTATAATGATGTTCAACATCTTTGCAATTAATACAAATTACATCAGGTCTATCAATCTGATTGTTTTTAAACTTAATTTTGTAACTTTTATCTGTGTTTTTCCTACATATATCTTTTAAAAATCCTAATAGATCCCCGGGTATGGAAACTTGCGCAAGAAGCACCAGCTTTAAGCGTCTAAGCCGTAAATTATATAATATACCTACTGCCATTTCTCCGATATGTTACAAGCGTTTAGTAATATTATTTTATCGTAATAATATTCGTGTAACGATTCTCCGGGTTTATAGCACCTGTCTAACCTCTCGGATAACAAAGCACCGTAGTTTGTATCAGATGGAAAGGTATTTTTTAGACATTTATGCCATTCCGATCAGCCACGATTAAGGGACTGCAGCCCTTCATACCATGTCTCTGCATGCTGTACCAGACGAGGAAGTGCGAAATGATACGTTTGTTTGTCATCCCATTCATAGATTTGAGCATACTCATTAACCTCAGATATCTTTTACTGTAGAGTCAAATTCAGAGATAAGACTTTTATCAATATGTAGCTTTTTAGGCTGCTCATGTTTAGTAAGCGTAGTCATGAGACTCATGAATTTTTTTAAGCTTTAATTATTAAGTAAATCACTCATACTCGACTATGAGTGATTTACTTAATAATTAAACCTTAAAAAAATGCGGTGGGACTCCTTGTAGTTTACCAGGGTCTCAATTCTGCTATTTTAATATTGTTTCAATAAACTGTCGATGGAATGTCGTCGCAATAGTTCTGCACTTTTCGTATTCTACTAACTATGTATGTCCAATGGCCTCCCTGATGACTTGTCACTGAACTGCCATTATTACAAATGTCGTCGATGTCTTTGTAATAGTTTTATAAACGGTACATTTTAAATTTTTAAGGTAATGATATGATATTTAATTTTCCAGATATGGCAATATTGTTGATGACACCATTGATGAACCATTGTCACTTCATCGACAATCTATCTACACTGTGAATTTATGTTAGTAGAATATCGATATTTTGGCCGATGTCACTGGCAGCTCAATAACGTCTTAATAGCATGTCAATGGAATGACAGTTCATTAACATAAAATAGCAGAATTAAAACCCAGTGCTCTCGCTGCTCAGGCGGTTGTCTGCCACGACGAATCCACGTCCGGTCCACAAATCCGACCACAGCTGTACAGTCATCCAAAGCTGGAACCCTGCACCCGCTGTGCAAGCGTCTAAACTCGCAATTAAGCGGGCAAAGTACTTAGTTCGCAAATACGCTCATGATTGCGTAAGCTTAAGTGCCCTTTACATTCATGGCTGCGCAAGGTATGAGGCTCGCGACTATGCTCGTTGCTGCGCAAGAAGTGAATCTTGGGGGTACCTTCAGGGCTTCTCACATAGTCAGGCTCGCATCTATGTCTGCGGCTGCGGAAGTGACTAGACTTGCAACTACGCTCGCGGCTGCGTATGTGACTAAACTCGTGACTACGCTCACGGCTGTGCAACCGCCGACGAATTTTGATATATTGACTGATCTTAAATTCTGGGCACTTGAATTCCCAGCTAGGTAAGTATGACCTAATAATTCTTTTAAATTACTTAAGATAAGCGTAGATCTCACAACAGTGAGTGTATTAGTGACTGCACAAATATAGAAAGTTGACAGTATGCCACCCAAATAAAGTAAGAAGATTTAATATGTTGTAAGTGCCCTACCATGCTTCCGTTCACATCTGAAATATTTATAAATGGCATGCACCGCTAGTTCACAAAGTATTTATTATTTATAGGTTAAGGTTACTTAATAACACTTATTACAAACTAATTATAACCTAAGTAATAAAAAAATATTGCATAAATAAATACATGCCTCGTAGTTACCTGTGCATGTAAAGTGTAAGATGTACCTATGTATCCTATGTGAGACAGACATCCTAGTTCAGAAAAATGTGGGTAACATATCTCTGTCTACCCAGTCGTGGTTTTAATTATTTTTATTTTACTAAACATTATACACATGAGCTATAGTTATAGGAAGAGAAAAATAATTCTTATTATTAACACTTCAAAACTTACCAATGTTCGGCGTTAATTAATCCCACTTCTGAACTGTCAGAAATAACTAGAATTAGGTTTAGTAAAATTGCCGTATATTTAGTAAATCCGTTTATTCTTTCTATGCAACGCTGTTCGCGTGCTGTCGCCGGCCGTCACCGTTCTTTTACAGTGAAAATCCCCTCCAATATTTCCCCACCTTATATCTACAACTGTACAATTTTATTTAATATAAAGTTAATTACAACGTATCATTACAGTATGAACATTAAATACATCAACACAAATTTACAATAATTATCAAGTTTACAACAAAGCAAATAAAATGTTGTCTTGTGCTCCCTCAAATATAGGATAAGGAAAAAATCTAATAATAAATTGTGCAAAAAGTAGTAAATCAGTAGTAGTTAATATTTAAATAGTAGGTAAGTATGTCAACAATTAAACAGTGTTCAATATCTGAGTACGAACATTTTTTTTTTAAATTTAGCCAGTCTATTAGAAAAGATGTATATTCGTTAGTCGTATAGCCTAGCTTAGCAATTGGTGCTAGCTTCCCTAAATTCGTCCGGGCCCGTGGGACCTAAAATAGCGGGCGAGGGTATCGTGGGATTCTACTTACAACAGTGATAGAATTTGTATAGGAATGCTAGGCGAGAGATAATACGACGGGACTTATGTTTGAAATGCGTTAGTTTATCCTCGTAAATCTTTAAATTCTTCACCTCATAAAGGACTGCTAGATGTCGAACTAGTATCTTTTGGTTTTGTTCTAATTTGTTTATGTGAACGTGGTAAATTGGGCTCCATATCTTACCATGAAATGAAAAGTATGTTACTAGAAAGATCAGGACTTATTTTTATGTTAAAAAATGTAAAGAAGTTATGTATATTACTTTTCTCATCTTTTATATCACTCAATCACTTTTTATGTAGATATGGGTTTTTTTACTTTTTTTAAAACCATGTTTTACCTAACAAGTAAGTAAGTTTAAATTTGTTATTAGTTATCATTGGAACCCATAGTACTATAATTGGTAAATTATCATATTTGTACTTGTTTCTAAATAAAGTTTATTAATTTATTGATAACATTGATTAATTTTTATCATTTGTTATACGAGTATATATTCAATATCTTTCAAGGTTTTTCGTTAAAAAAAACATGCAGATACGAGTATGTCAGAACTAGTTTCTCCATAGGTTTAATCAATTATTAACGGTATGTGAAGGCCAATCTAACGTTATAAAAAAATCATATAAATAAATTTACAAGTGTTGTTGGTTTGTTGATTTTCAAATATTTTTGTGGGTGCGTTCGGAAATTTATAATGTCACTTTAAAAAATAATAAAAAAATATGTCAAAAATATTTTGTTAGTATGTTAAAAAACTTTCTTTACATTTTTTTTTGTGCTTCATTTTGTTTTGTGTGTTTTTTGTAAGTTTGCCTTATCACCACTTTTTGTAAAAAGAAACTAATATAATGTAGATTTAACAAAAACAATTTCATGTAAACCCTAAGAAAATATGTTGGTTTTGCCGTTTCGCTAACGTTACATGGGCGTAAGGTGAAAATTTTATACTAAATACTTATCAATACCAAATGGTGACGGATTCAGAATACGAAGTGTCAGAAATTGACTTAATGCAAGTTAATATGTAATTACCTCACTAACCAACGCTTATTTTTGAATTGTCAAATACAACATCTAATTATAAATAAATATGTAAATTACATTAAAGAAAAAACAATAAAATAATGTTTGTGTTCGAGACGTCTCGCATCTAGAATACTAATATGAATGTCCTAAGCATAATACTTTCCGTGTGGTGACGGATTAAGAATACCCCTGAGTGTCACCACCCTTATTCATCCCGTGGGTTGAGAGCCGACTTACGGAGAAAACCGCGCAGGACAACAGCACTGCAAAGAGAAGGAAAACTGGACACAAGCCCTTTTTTTTTTTTTTTTTTTTTTTTAACGTGTGGAAATCCCCTCGGACCGTCACCCCTCCGGGGTTTGCGGCGGGGTGGTGTGTCGGACTCGGACCGACTAAAACCACACGGTGTGCCACTCTGCGCCTGTAACAGGAGGGATCCGGGAACAGCTGTTGTTAAGACATCCGGACCCCTCCTAGCGCCAGCCCGCTCCTGGTGCGGGCTCCGTCTCGATGTTGTTTCTCTCTTTAGGCGACGTCCGGCACACGCGGACGCCGCCCCCTCGCGGCTGGCCAAACTAATGCGGGTGGAGGGGAAATCCACCGGGTGGAGGGGAGCACTGCAAAGAGAAGGAAAACTTGAAACAAACCCTATACCAACCCGTCTGGCCAGCGTGGTATAATAGGCCAAAACCTTCTTTCTAACGAGAGGCCTATGTTCAGCAGTGGACTATTAAAGGCTGTTGATGTGATGTGACTTTTCTGTTACAAAATCTTCCTCTCCTGTAGTAACGAAACGGCCAAGCTACATATTTTGACTAAGGTGTAGGTATAGAGTTGTTGCGTAGGTGTAGACAGAAGCTTGACTCTACGTGAGATCTGATAACTTTTTGACATTGCGAGCCATATAGTCTCGTATTGGCAACATTTTACATGAAAATGTTTTTGGTGGGATTTTGCTTCTTTTTGTAAGTGCTTTGTGAAAATATATTTTCTTGTTGTTTCTTTTTTTTTGGGTTTAATTATTGCAAAGAGTCCCTGTGTCAATTTTCAGACCTTTAGCATCTAAATTTGCAGCAGTCTAATAAAAACTTTCATCCCCTAATTTAAGGGTTTGGGGGGTAAAAGTTCCAATTTTCATACCCATTACTTGGATAATTGGCACTCCACCACTGGGCGTTTTTCAGAACACCTTTAGCTAGCACAACTAATCTGTGGAACAAGTACGACCTTCAAACCTTCAAGAAAAGGCCCATAGCGCACTTGTGACTCGTAAGATGCAGGCGTTCAATGGTAATCAAATCAGGTTACCCGTCATCTTGTTTTCCCTCTATAGGTATCTCACACATCACCTTAGCATTAGAGCAATAATAAAAATAAAAATTTGTAAACTGATTTTCCGCATCAGCGCTTGACAATAACTACTGAACGAAAAAAAGTTTGAAAGATGTAATAAACATTTATAGCAAAGCTTACACTTCATCAAACATTTTTATGTATTGACAATCTTTGTCTTTATTGGTGTAGTTTCGTGTGGTGATGGATTGAGAAGATGGAGTGTTACCACTCCTGTTCGTCGGTGTCGTAAGAACCACATAGGGAGCAATGGCACTGCAAAGAGAAGGAAAACTTGAAAGAAACCCTATACCAACCCGTCTGGCCAACGTGGTATAATAAGCCAAAACCTTCTTTCTAAGGAGTGGCCTGTCCAGCAGCAGACTACTAAAGGCTGTTTAAAAAGAATAGACATCATGCAATATACAGTCGAAATGAATTCAAATGTAATAAATTTTATGTTGTATATATTTTAATTCATAAGATGGGTCTTGATTCTAGAAGTTTATTAGTAGGTAGTATAAAACTATAATTCGCCAAGATGATGCAATCGTCTCTTGTTTTTGGAGATGTCTAGTTTTGATAAGCCCAATGTCACGACAAACTGAAAGGACATTTTACAGTGCCACCAACTTATCTGTTCAGTAGACAAAATCGGAACTAAATCTGCGTCAATCTGCGTGTCAGTTTACAAGGTGTGGGTGCTCTCTGTGTTTATCATTTGATTTTATTATTAAAACTACAATTAAAATGCCGAAAGCTCTTAAAAGTGATGCTAGAGTTATTATTTTAAAAGTTTTATCTTTTATGAACGAAGAAAAACGCCTCCAATTTCCAAAAATACCATTTGAAAAAGTGCCACAACGTGTTGCTGCCGCTACAGGTTAGTGTTATAGTCTAAGGACAGTAAAATTTCCCACTTAAATTATTTTATTATTTATTATTTTAATATTCAGCTTATGTTTCATATTTTATTGTCTATATATATCCACTGAAAATTAGAAATAAAACTGATACGTCGCCCCCACTACTACTAACTAGCGCACCATTTTACTAGTCTTTATTTTCATAAACGGTAAACGTATACCTACATTGTGTTCACTCTTTATTCCACCCGAATAATTAAAAAAAATAACATTATTTCTTAAGTTTGATGAGCCACTTTTTGTTACAGGTGTTAGTGAGCGATTTGTTTATAAATTAATGAATGAAGAAAAACGAGCTGAAGAAACTAATACTAAAATATGTACACCTGGTAAAAACAGGGAAAGGAAAACAGGGAAACTAGAAGTTGATGACTTTGATATTGGTGTGATTAGGAGAAAAACCCATGAATTTTATTCAGTAAAAAAAGAAATTCCTTCTGTAACCAAGCTATTGAATATTTTAAGAGAAGATATCAATTTCCAGGGGAAACTGATATCACGACCACAATTATTTTTATAAAATATAATGTAACTAGTTTGGTATAATAAATCGTATTATCTGTTTGCAAAACAAAATATTTCTTTCTTTTCAACT